CCCCAAAACCCCAAAACCCCAAAACCCCGCTTTATGCTAAAACTACTGAGCAAAGATATAAATTTATACAGTAAAAATGGGTTGAGCCGCATCAAAACCTAAGATATCAACTGAGATCTTAATATTCGAATCAAACCAAAAAGTTGAACTTGATGAAATTACAGATGGGATTGTTTGCCAAAGCAAGGATGGTAAAACTTATCTTCCTGGAAAGTTAGAGGACTACAAAATCACAGCAGAAGACGGAAACTGGAAATTAATCATCAAAAGACATAAAGTTAAACAAATCGTTGATGAAATTCATTATAAAATCAGAGAGAAAGAAGCTGAGAAAGATGAAGTTGAAGAGAAAATAAGGACAGGCGAAGTTTTTGTCCCGGTCAAAGTTACAATTGCTAGAGACCTTCAGAAGATAATTGGAGATTACTACTCAGTTCTTGAATGTATTCAAAATAATGCTAAAAACAAATCAAATCCCAGCAGTGATAACATTATGAATCCCATTCCTAGATTCTCTAAATCCTCCAAATCACAAAATATTGATCAGGATTATACTGCCATTGAAAATCACAAACTAGAACACTGAATTTCTCTACATATCTCCTCAATGGCATTGGAGCTTCATGATGAATCTCAGCTAAATCTGAACCTGTCTCAATCCCAAAATGCAGCCCTATTAAAAGACTTACTTAAGCTTCTAGATGGACACTTCTTGCCTGATTTAAAGAAGTTTTGGATTCATTTATATAGCAAGAACAATAAGCTGCAAGCTCAGTTGATTCACAACCATTTCCCTAAGCATGTAGGAGCTTTGTCCTTGATCAATAAGGGCACCAATGGCAAGGTTATGGGTAAGTTATGGAGGAAATTGGCGTATGAGGTAGCTTAGAGCTTTAGTCACAAGTCCTTTAGCGGCAACTTTAGTGATACTAGTTCTCTTCACAAATCCTAATTTTTCTAGACATCGAGCCTTTCAAAACTAGTTTTCACAAAATAAGTCCTTGAGTGCTAAAGGCTCTCAATCTAGGCTACTTCAAGATTCCAGCCAGCATTCTCTCAGCCATTTTCGATTACTTTGCTCACATAGAGATTCTTGGTTTCCAAGATTGTGAAATTGATGCTTCAGGAGTTTGTATCAACAAGCATACTGAGTTTGAGATCTCCGAGCTTGGATTCATTGATTGTGGGGGTAAATAACGGTAACGACTGGGCTACAGAGCCTGAAGATCTGTGGGAGATGGTGCAGGAGATTGGGAAGTCGCCGATGGTGGAAGCATTGGAGAAGCTTGTGGTTTGGAAGAAGGGGGATTTAGAAGAGGGAGATGAGTTGTTGGCTAAGAATATTAGAAAGATGCTTGACTCAAACCAAATGGATGATGTTGAGCTCGATGTAAAATACTGAATTAATAGCTAAATATCCTCGCCAACTCTTAATGATTCCAATGAAATTACTACTCTAAACATTTCCTATTCAAAATAGAAGCAATTTCTTACTAATCCAAACTTTCTGGCCCAATTTGTTTATTGACCTCAAAATTTTCCTAACCCTGCTGCTTATTAAAAATTATAATTATTTTCAAATTTCAAAAATCTGTCCTAAATTTACTTTAAAACTCAAAGCGTCACTTAAAATCTCTGTTTTGCATCCAAATGTCCAAAATTCAGGTGTGAATATCGCCCGAATTCAGTAATAATCCCAATTAAAATTTCAATCGAAGCAAATGCCCCTGGGGTTTTGGGGTTTTGGGGTTTTGGGGTTTTTGGGG